TCACTAAAGCGTTTTTTCCCCCCCCTGAGACGTTAAAATGGGGGGGCCCCCACCCCCCCACAACCCCCAAACAAAAAGGGGCGGTTTGGGGATTTCTGGGAGTTGAAGTCCACCCATCTTAAAGTGGCCAAGGTTGAGAAACACTGGTCTAAGGTAAGAGGTTTTGGCTGCATCATAGGGAGAAAATTTCTGATTTCATTTATACTGTGTTTATCAGATCACGTTATCTCCCTGATATTATGACCAGCCAACCCTGTACCATCATCCTTTCCAGTGTAGGGGAGGGCATGCTCAAATAAACACTGCACTACCTCAGTCAGATGCTTCTTCCCCTCTGAGGAGTGCAAGAAAATCCACAAATCTCACCAAGCTGATATTTCTCCATGATAAATAACGTATGGATATATCAGTGATTCATACAACAGAAGGTATGAGTAAGCTGCTGGTAACAATATCCACTGGCAGGCCTTGCCTAAATAATGTTTAACATTTCTATAGCTCATCCAACAGCCAGCATGTAATTTTTAAGTTTCTCGTTCCTGGTGCTGGTCTTAACTGCCAGTTTCACAGTGAGCCATCTTTCATTTTTTTAGGGGAAAAAAGATGTAGAGGTAGTCTCAGTGATGCTTTTTCTAATGTGGAGATTTAAAGTGGAGCACAGGTAAAATCCAGTTTCAGATCTAGTACTTATTTTCACTCTTTCATACTTAGGCATGAATGCTGTCTCCTTCAGTGTGACACCCTCTTAGAGATAGAAATTTTTCTTTCACTTTTTCTTTTCCTTCATCCCATCACTTTCCTTTTCATACTTAAAACACCAGTAAAATATGCATAATAGGTTATTCATTTGGTTTTATTTCATTTTTCTCCTTATGGAATCATGGGTAGTTTCATGGCAACTCATTTCTTTCTGTTTGTTTCGTATAGGGCTGATAGTGCAGGATCATTCAGACCCCCTGTTCAGTTCATATGCCAATAAGTCCCACTATCTACTGAATGAATCAAATCGTGCTGAGTTGATGAAATTACCTATGATTCCTCCTTCTTCGTCAGCTTCCAAAAAGAAATGTGAGAAAGGTAACCAAAATAGCTTCTTTCTCTTTTTTTTTTCTTTCACTTTTCCTACTTTTCCTTTCTTTTTGTTTGCTTTTTTTAAAAAAAAAAAACTAAATCAAGCTTTGTATGCTCATCTAGCACTTCCTTGTTGCGCTTCGCAAACTTCACTCATTGCTTATTTTGAGCGTGTATTCCTGTTGGCAGAAATATTACAAAAGGGCTTAAAATAATTACTAAATTCCACTCAAGCACTGACTTGTACACGGTTAGCCAATCCAGCAGACTTTCCTAAATCCTGAGGCAAAACTATATCGGTAGGGAATCTGTAGGGTCTTTCTGTTGTGTATATCTGTCGTATCTATTAACCACACTAAAGGAGTTCGTTGTCCACTTGGGTCTTACTCAAATTCTTTACAGCTAGAGTAGAGGCTGTCTGGAAGTTCCAGATACATGAACCAGCAACCCCAGTCATAGCCTAATTGTGTAGATTTGGCATTTCAGTTCATAGCTTGCTGTTGGCTGAATAACTTTCTCACTTACTGATTGCCTTGCTCTACAGAAAGAAGATGGGCCTTGGGTCCTGCAGTGTGTAACATACTCTGCCTCTACTAGGTGAAAAAGGCCTTTTAATGCTTCCTGGTACTTCTTTAAGTAGTTGGATTACTTTTGGCTGGTAGTTACAGCCTCAGACACATTTTCATGTAATGGAATAACACAGACACAAACTATTTTCCCCTCTTCCATCACTCCCTGGAAGCATACTTCCTACAGGGGTATCCTAAAGCACTTACTTGTGTTACTTACTTTTGTTTCTGGTCCCCTCAGTTGCCGAAGGCTCTGAGCAGCTTAAAACAGATTTTAAAATGTAGGGTGAAAGCAAATAGAAACATACAAACAAAATAATCACAATTACATGTAGCTAAGTAGCAGCACCACCACCAAGGGATAGAATAACTCTTGAAAGCTCTCCCGAAGTGCCATGTTTTTTACAGCTTTTTGGAAGCCGTTATGTAATGCTTTAGATACCAAGAGACAGCTATTAACAGGAAGAAGGCTTAAATAAATCTGGTCCCACAGTGGCATTGGCTAATACTACAGAACTGTGTGTGTGAGGGATTGACTGTTCCTTATTGCAAGTCTTCATATTAATCTGTACAAATTCACAGTTGGGAGGGGGTGCCTAATATTTCAAGCTCCACCAGACTAATAAGCTATCCGGTTCAGAAGTGGCCAACTTTAGGGTTATGATCACGCAACAGGATAGCATAGTTTCGGAACTGTTTGGACAAGTTCTATGTGTGTAAAACCTATGGGCAGTGGGAGTGTGCTTATTTTACCCCTTTGATGTATTTGTCTTCCCTTCCATTTAATGCATGTAGATAGTATGCATACATAATGTTCCCTGTGAAAACCGTGGTGGGTCTGCTCCTGCAGCTTCACATTGACTGCATACACTTGGAGCCTTGTCCAAACTAAGAGTTTTTTGGTCTGCAAAGTTTGGGAAGAGTTTATTGACTCTTGAATGTTTCAACCCTCTACATAAAGTATATGACTTGTCATGTTGGCATAGTTAGGTGAGTCTCTCTCAGCAAGAGACAAGAGACAATTATTTTGAGCCCTCTTTCATAGTTGCAGAAAATCTTACTAATGCATTGTAAAAGCCAAGTTTCCTTGCTTAGCATTGAAAGTTTGTGTGGCTTTATTTGTTTTGCTTGGTTTTTGCATCTTTTGGCATTCTACTGTTTGGGCATTGTTTCAATGACTGGGGCTGTATTTCCTCTGAAATCACCTTTTATACTTTTAAAATTAATTGTGGGATTTTGAAATGATGTGGAAATCCAAACATTTTGACTTTGTTGCATTTCATGGCAGAGGAAATATAGTAATGATTTTGTTGTTTGAAGAAACCTTTGAAGCTTTATAACAATCAGTGCAATTACAGAGTTTAAAGTCTATAGGTGGACAAATTTTTCTGACAGCCTTTCAGAAAATAATCTAAATTTCTTTGATACTTTTAAAAAAAGTTTAAACGCTGTCTTCTAAATTTGGGGGGGGGGTTCCCTTCAAGTGTTATATGCTCTACATTTTTAGATTTAATGAAATTAAAGATGCTTGCTATCCACGATGAATATATCTGAAAGAAAATCAATACATAGCCTTAGCTCCATTTCTTAATTTTCAGTCTTTTAACAATTGAAATTCCTTTCTTGCTTCAAAAGTTATTTGCTTAGCACAAAAGTAAAATTCTTGATCTCTTAACTCTGGTTTGTTTACAATACTGGTTGGAAGATTACAATTCTTAATGCTCAAATTGGTGCAGATATACCAGTATACTATGCTGAGATCTGGAAAAAAAACCCAAAAAAAGGAATATTGTGTATGCCAGAGAGGAAATACATAGCATCATAGTTGAAGAGATTGGTAATTTTTTTATCAGCTCAGGCTATATAGCACACAAATGCTTCATTTTGAAGGCATAGGAATGATTTGGAATTCTAAAATTTTTGAATTTGTTTTGCTAATGCATTATTTTTAAAGCAGAACAATATTGATCAACCTATAGGCTGGTTTTATGTGCACTAACTGATTGCTAAGGGATCGGGTCATGACAATGCAGATTTAAAACAGAGTTTATGGGATTCAATAAGTTATCTGAAATACTGAGCTATGTCAGGACTGTTGGGGAAAAATAAATTCCCGTACAATTTATCATATTTAAATACCAGTGTTTTGGAAGTATGTACCAATGCAGCTGTGTAATCCAAACAAACAAAAAAGAATTACATTTATCCCTTTAATGTCTTGATCTAGGAATTTAGTTTGACTAATTTTATACAAACAAAATAAGTGTTTTAAATCCGGCATTGTAATTCTGACCAGATCCTTTCATTTTGCCATTCATATTGTATGACATGGCAAATCCCATGCATACTGCATTTAAAAAAAACAAAAAACAAAGAGGTGTGTGCGCTGCTTGTTTCCTTTAACTATAAAGTGAGCAGTGTTGTTTCTTTAAAGGTGGGAAACTGCTGTGCTGCGAATCTTGCCCTGCGTCCTTCCACCCGGAATGTCTTAATATAGAGATGCCAGACGGCTCGTGGAACTGCAACGATTGCAAAGCTGGCAAGAAATTGCGATACAAGCAGATTGTTTGGGTCAAGCTTGGAAATTACAGGTAAGCTAAAGCCAATGAAAAATTATTTTTCATCATCAAACCAGCATTATAAGTACAGTGACCATAAGTGCTTTATCATAAAGGACGTTCCTTTATTTCAGAAAGCTGTCCTTTAGATTTATTTATTTTTTCAAAAGCTCACTTTTGTCCTTTATTTTGGTCATTTAACTTTTACCATACAAATGGTACGACTGAATGCAGTCTTTCATATTCATGTGAAAAATATGGAAATTGAATTGTCTTTTTAAAATAAATTTACATATACTGTTT